GCCCTGCCTCCGCAACCTCTGCCCATGCCCCTCACTCCTGACTTAAAGCCCCCTGCTCTCCTGGCCCTGCCTCATGCAGCTCTGCTGGTGCACCTCAGTCCCAACTCGCAGCCCCCGGCTAACCCAGGCAGGGCTGGCTTTAGGCCGATTCCCCGGAATCGGACCCCGTGCATAAGAGGACCCCGTGCCCAGCCAGAGCGCGGCAAGCCTGTGGCCCCACTCCCCGGGCCGGGGCGTGGCAATGCAAAGTGCATCGAAGAGTCAGAGCGCTGCCCGCTGAGTATAAGCCCCAGGAATCGGGCCCCGCACTTGCTAAAGCCGGCCCAGAGCCCAGGACTGGACTCACCTTTCCTCAGGAACTCCCCGTTCTGGTGGTCCATGTACTCGTCACTCAGCTGCGAGTAGTTGGACATTTTGTTCCCCTTCATGCTCTGGAAGGAGGCGTTCTCCACCACCGCGGCCACTTGCTCTTCACTCAGCTCCTTCCCCAGGAAGTGGCAGATTCTCCGCACGCTGCCCCGCAGATCCTGGGGGAAGACACCCACTGCCATGAAGATGGTGATTCTAGGGTGACAATTTTATGGTCCACATGTGCCTCAGTTCCCTCCCCCCGCAGAGTCCTGCTCCCCACTAGGTGCTGAGGAAGAGACCCCTTCAAAGGCAGAGGGCCTTGGCCGTGAGCCACGTTGGCCACCTGAGGTGAGACCCTGTTCCAGGCCAGGGGCAGAGGAATGCAAAGGCCGGGAGGAGCCAACACCCGGGACATGGACGCCGAGGCCTGGGGAGCTGGGGCTGAGAACACCCTAGAACACCACCTGGCTGGGGGCCTGGGGCGGGGCTATGTGTGGGGATGGCTCAGGGGCGGGGTTATATGTGGGGATGGCTCGGGGCGGGGTTATATGTGGGGATGGCTCAGGGGCAGGGTTATATGTGGGGATGGCTCTAGGGGCGGGGTTACGTGTGCGGATGGCTCTAGGGGAGGGGTTACATGTGGGGAAGACTCAGGAACGGGGCTATATGTGGGGGTGGCTCAGGGGCGGGGTTACGTGTGGGGATGGCTCTATGGCGGGATTACGTGTGGGGGTGGCTCGGGCAGGGTTACATGTGGGCATGGCTCAGGGGCGGGGCTATGTGTGGGGGTGTCACCAGGTGGCGGGGCTATTTGTCGGCATGGCACCAGGGATGGAGTTATGTGTGGATGAGGTCTCAGGGGCGGGACTATGTGTGGGCGTGACCCCAGGGGTGGAGTTATGTGTGGATGAGGTCTCAGGGGCGGGGCTATGTGTGGCGTGACCCCAGGGGTGGAGTTATGTGTGGGCGTGTCCCAAGGGCGGAGTTTCCCTACCTGCTGCAGCTCCTCGTAGGTGATGGAGAAGAAGTTCTCGTTGCCCTTCAGCCCCATCCAGCCGGTGACGTGGTCGAACCAGGAGCTGTAGACCACTGTGCAGGAGAGAGCGGCACGGTGACCCCAGAGCTGCCCCCTCCAGCCCCACCACCCACTGTTTAATTTATAATTAAAGTGGTGTCAGGGCTCAAGCAATTTTTTTACATTCATAACTGATGCAGCCAGCCCAGAGGTGCCGGAGCTCAGAACTGCCAGGCCCAGAGGTGCCGGTGCCGTGGCACAAAACAAGCACTACTTCCACCTAAGTCCCCTCTGTGACCTTATTGATATTATCTGGGACCATATAGAACATGGTTGCAACCAAAGTCCTGTAGTGGCACCAAATCTTGTATAAAGGGGGTCAAATGAGGTGTCTAAGACAAGGGTATGGTTTGCTGGTTATGATTATGCTGTCTAGATGTGTGTATCAATTTTGGAGTTGAAGTTATAAATATTGGCTCTGTACTGTCTGTATTTCAAACTTATGCTATGCTGCTGGGAGACACCCCAGACAAGTTGGTATTAGCTCTGCCTAGCCCGCTTGATGCCCATTAAGGACCATCAGCTATACAATGGACCCATTGAGAGAAGGCAGATACACCTTGCAAATCAGCAAAGTATGCAGGGACTGGCCCATGTGACTCCACACTCCATTTTGCTGTAATTTTCCACAGTAAGGACAAAGAGGTGTTCTTACACCTGGAAAGGACATAAAAGGCTGATGCCTCTCCTCCATCTTGTCTTCAATGCTGCTTCTTACCTCTGGAGGGACTTTGCTATGAATGGAAGCTCTACACAAAGGACTGATGACCCATCCCAGCTGGGGATGTTCCAGAGACTTGGTTTGAGCCTGCAGTTTATTCCATCACTGCTACAAGCCTAAACCAAGAACTTTGCCATTACTGTATGTAATTGATTCCATTTAACCAATTCTAACTCTCATCTCTATCTTATTCCTTTTATGAATAAACCTTTAGATTTTAGATTCTAAAGGATTGGCAACAGCA